AAGTTATGACGTAAACGTAATTCAAGCCTACTCATTGTCGTTTTAATTCGTGCGTCGTGCATGGCGAGATGTACATCAAGATGGACCGAAAGAACGCGCTTAAATATATAATTAGTTTATTAGACCATTGTGTGCGTTAGCTAGTGATGTACATTTTACTTACAAGGACTGTGGAAAAACTGTTGTTAAGGTAGCGGTATAAAGTTTTAAACAAATGGTTTAGTGCACGAAACTAAGTTACTTCAAAAATTTGCTGAACTTTTACCATGATAGTTCTAAACTAATTAAAAAATACTCAAATAACATGTTCCCGGGAATAAGCTGTACCTACCTGCCTTTTGTTGGATTTTAATTTAAATTGTACATAGTCCCAATAATCTCTGAAGAGTTGAGTCTACCGATAAACTTAAACAATTTCCTCCAAGAATCAGATCGGAAAGTTGTATTTTCGACTATTGGAGAAAACTTTGCTGCAATGGACAGTTTCGCCGGAATTTCTTTTTTAACATAACGTTAATCAACTATAAATATACCTATTTATACTTTATATATTTCATAATATGTTTTGCAGTAGAAATAAAAAACGGGGACACAGAGTACATAATGACTGCTTTATTATTAATAATTGCAAACTAAATTACAAATTAATCTACACTAATATCTACATCTACACTAATATAATATTATAAAGAGGAAAGATTTGTTTGTTTGTTTGAATTGAATAGGCTCCGAAACTACTGGACTGATTTGAAAAATTCTTCCAACACTAGAATTCTACATTATTCCTGATGAACATAAACTATATAATATTTTCAAAAAAGTTAGGGATCCGTATGAAAACTTCGTTAATATAACCCAAAGTGTGAAAAAAATACCAAAAACAATCCTTATATCGCGTACGCTGCGGAAACTATTGATAATAGAGCAAAGTAATGTACTTCAGTTTTATAGAGGATATCATTATCTACAAAAAAGCCCGCGATACCATATGTTTAACTATTACAGTTATGTCTCAATAACTACTTTTTCATGTTAAAACATGAAATAGTAACGCCGGTACAAACTAGGCCATAATTATAAAGAGGAAAGATTTGTTTGTTTGTTTGTTTGAATTGAATAGGCTCCGAAACTACGAGACCAATTAGAAAAATTCTTTCACCATTAGAATTCTACATTATCCCTTATGAACATAGGCTATATAATATTGTCAAAAAAGTTAGGGATCCGTATGAAAACTTCGTTAATGTAACCCAAGGTGTGAAAAAAATACCAAAAATAATCCTTATATCGCATACGCTGCGGAAAGTATTGATAATAGAGCAAAGTAATGTACTTCAGTTTTACAGAGGATATCAATATCTACAAAACAGCCTGCGATACCATATGTTTAACTATTACATTTATGTATAATATGTGTAACAATAATTACTTTTTCATGTTAAAGTATGAAATAGTAACGCCGGTACAAACTAGGCCACATTATTCGTATCAGTACCTGTACCATGCATAACCACCAATTACCTTAAATATGTAATTTTATTAACATATTTCACTTTTTAAATAATTGTTTATTCATCAACCGTCTGTCGTGATGTCTCTCTCAAAGTTCGCATGTCGGAAGGCGTAGACGCGTGATATACGCGGGTGAAACCGCGGGGCACAGCTAGTTAATAATTAAATACATTAGAGAAATTAATTTTAACATTCGACTTAAATATCAATAAAAACTTAATAATTTAACTATGGAAACTTATAGGAATCAGTTAAATAAGATGTTCAAAGTCCAATATTTTTATGAGGCTCTTTCATCTGAAAAATAATAAACTATTAGATGCATGAATTTAAAAACATAATGATCTTACACAAACTAGGAAAAAACGCAGGAGAAAAAGGTAAAGTGTACCAGGTGTCTGAGGATTCAGCTGCGCTGTCTATTCTCTCAATCTCGGTATGTTAAGAAAATGATCACTTATCGATGGATGACTGCGATAAGTTCAGCTTAATCTCGCAGATCTATGATCCGTCCAGCTGTTATTTAACCACGAGTTCCTCTTCTCTACGACTAACGCTGTAGACGATGAACCACGCTATCAAGCCCTCGGCATACAGTCGTCGGGCATCAAGCATAAATCGGGCATCGGGTGTTCTGAGTATCAAATACTATGGAATTTATACTATCATAAATATTGTACTAGGGTACCGGGAGTGTACGGATGGGGTCATTGCAGACGGGTGGCAAAGTAAGGTTATACATTTTTTGGTTGATAAATAGATACTCAGTTGGGTTTATAATTGCTTAAATAGGATACGACTTAGGGACCTTCAAGAAAAGAGCGTACTCCTTTTTAAAAGACCGACAACGCATCTGCAATTCCCCTAGTGTTGCGGTTGTTCATTGGCGGCGGTAGTCACTTACCATCAGGTGAGCCGTATGCTAGTTTGCCCCCTCTCCTATAAAAAAAGGATCTCAACATTTTTTATTTTAATATACTACAGTTTTATAATGTATAAAGATCTATCTCTATTTTTACCTAAAGCTATTGAAGTTACATTTTTGAAGTCTTACTGTAACAATATAATACTTACCGATAGAAATAATTTAGGAATGGCTCCTTTTAATTGCTTTTATTCTGCTTTTTCTTTTATATATCCCAAGAAAATGTTTGCTGCAAATTGTAGAGTTCTTCTTTAGTTTCTAACCAATCCACCCAATTAACCTTATCCATTTATTTATTCTATCTGTTTGACAAACGGCAAAGTAAAATTACGTTTTTAGAACGCAAATTGAGCATTTATTTTCATTCCTCTCCTTGTTGTGTGGGCAAGTCTATCGATTCATTATAAACTACTAATAATTAACTAATAAAATTATTATTTTATTATTTAGTATTTACTTTTGTGTCTGACTAACTTCTTTAAGGATTTAACACCAAAAGGAAAGATAGCATAAAAAACTGAAGTCACGCAAACTTGGTAAGAGTTTACGTAGATGCTGCTTCTCTTGTATCGACGTTTTCTCTATTAGTGCTGGGATCATATATATCTTCGGGTGTTTATACTAGTTTTTTAAATTATTCTACAGTGGTTTAACGACGTCATCATGAGCAATCCATCTTGTCTCTGAGAGTCTTTTGACGGATACGGCTACACTTTTCATTAAAGTTTCCTATCGACGTGTGAATGATGAAAAGAACCTGAATTAACGCTCCCTAAGTGAGTGCACCCCACATAGATTTAGCGAATGATTAGCACAAGGCGTTTTTTACGTGGTAGAGCCATGTTGCAGCTATATTAGTAGTATAGTTGTAGCACAAATGGGTCGGCTCGACCGGGGAAGGACCACGCACTCACACAATACCAGCGTAAAATAGCAGCTCAACACTGATGTATTTCGTATGGTAAGGGTAGAGAACCGGAGACCTTTTAACTGGTAAAGAGGCATTCTATATTAGTCCTCACGGGTGACAACGCATCTGCATTTTGATTCGCAAACGAGGATAGATGTAGATGTCTATGGGCCACAGCAACCACTCACCATCCGGTGGACTTTGTGCTCGTTTGTCACCCTATCCTCTATAATAAAAAACAATATATTCATTCATTTGACAACATCAAATTTTAAAATAGTGTTGTCATCTATAACGTAAAATGCACCCCCTACTTTTTAGGGAAAGAACATTCGTGTTTTAATGTTTTTTTTTCGTGTTACTTTATAATATGCTCAATTGAAAACAATATGGAATATATCAACTATGATTAATGATAAAAAATGTAAGATTATCGTTCTAGCATATGTCTAAAATATCACTTTAAGTCAAGAACTGTCTAAATGTTGGTAATGTTTTTATTTTGTGTAAACATCTATCAATGTTAGAAGGAGATAAAATACAAAACTCGATGCCTCTCTTTCTAAGAAAAATGAGGAACGGTTACAATGTTCCAAGCGCTCTCTCCCTATATCATATTATAACCTACTTGTACCTCAGTCACAACTAGCGATATCTGGTGAGTGGAAGATTATTACCCCTCAACTTTTTTTCACCGTGGCTAGTCTATGGATTCATCAGAGTGACAACACAATAAAACTGAAGTATTCCATAAATACGATTTAACTATGATACCTCGTTTAGACTCTCGCCTCGCGCCTCGCCTCGTATCTCGCCTCGCAGCTCGCGTGTTGTTGCGGGGTAACGAGTGCCTGTTTACACTCTCGCGATGCGGTCAGTTTGTGTTGAGCCAGCAACGATGAAAGACGTCGAAATAATAGCGGCATCAATTCTTGCCTTAATAAGTATTTATCGATGCTTGACCATTTTAAAAAGAAGGAAATTAATAAAAATACGACGTTGAGGAAGAATATGACGGATGATATCTATTCATCGAAACAGAACCTTTTCAGTTTCATAATTTTATTTAAATTGCTAGTACCTGTTGTGCAAGATTAAATAATATTATTTTCTTAAAATTGTAATTTTTAAACAAAAGCAATTCGAATGTTTTTATTGAAGGGCGCCGTAAACAAACTGAAACGAGACGCGAGTGTAAACAGCACGCTTGCGTCCCTCGCGAGGCCTTTTGCCTTGTGCCCAAAAAACCGCCTCCGACGCGAGTGGCGAGGCGAGCCACGAGCTAGCGTTTACTCTCGCGCCTCGTGGCTTGCCTCGCAACTCACCTCGGCGCTCGTGCGAGAGTGTAAATGGGGGGTGACAGGTTTATTGAACGTTTATGAATAGAGAATTTTTCTCCTGTATAGGACAATTACTATACTCTTTGATTTTATAATAGGCATTACTAAGCATTTTAAATTAATTACTGATATAACGCCATTTTAGGAGGTTTTTATAAATAAGACTAAGTCTATGTAATGGACACACCTCTGTGTCTGTCTATCCATATTAAACATTATTTTTTGCTATTTGGATATTCTTCATAATCCTTACTCTAAAAGTCCATACTCTATGAATTTATGTTAAAAATATTACTCTACTCTATGGCTAAAAATGTCGGAGCTGTCACGAGGTTAGTGTCTATATCTCTATATTAGATTTTTTGTATTTTATCGAATCATATAAATAATAGTTATTACTCTATTTAATAAAACATTTTTATACTTTCTGTGAGTATATACTTTTTGTTTTTAAAAGTTATCTTAATTACTAAATTTATAGTAAGTTCTAAGATATACCTATGTAAAAGTTAGTAAAGATGTTTGATAATATTACATTTATAAACAATGCCTTTACGTGCCTTTTTGGACACATTCTGACTTCCCACAATGGAGTGTAGAGTCCCATTCACTCTATTTCCTGTGTTCACTTATCGTTCTATATCCTTATCATATCTACTATCCCTGCTAAATACACATCCAAAATACACAAACTCATCTACTTGCTCGACCAACTCCTCTTCTATTCTCATTTCACATATCATTTGTGAAAATGTGTGAAAATGATATGTGAAATAAGAATAAAAGAGGAGTTGGTCGAGCAAGTAGATGAGTTTGTGTATTTTGGATGTCTATTTAGAAGGGATAGTAGATATAATAAGGATATAGAACGATAAGTGAACACAGGAAATAGAGTGAATGGGACTCTACACTCCTTTGTGGGAAGTCAGAATGTGTCCAAAAAGGCACGTATGGCAATTCACAATGCTCTGTTAGTCCCTACTTTAATGTATGGTAGTGAAAGTTGGGTGTGGTAGAAGAAGCACGAGAGAAAAATAAATGCTGTAGAAATGCGGTCATTAAGGAGTATGTTAGGGATGAATCTGAATGACAGGGTCAGAAATTATTTGATAAGAGAAGAGTGTGGCTTACAAGATGATGTTGTGACCAGGATTAAGAAAGGATTGCTTCGGTGGTTTGTTCATGGTAGAAAGCATGAATAAAGAAAGAGTGACAAAGCAAATTTATTTTGCAGAGGTGAACGACAGAGTCGGGAAGGGACGCCCTAGGCGAAAGATTATTGACCAAATTGGCGATATATTGAAAATGGGCCAAATTAGGAGTACCTTTAACCGACGAGCGTATATGTGTAGGTATATGGATGTGGAGGAAGTGAGAGAGGTGTGTCAGGATCGTGCCAAATGGAAGGTCATAGTCTCTGCCTACCCCTCTGGGTGACAGGTGTGAGTGTTTATGTATGTATGTATTTATGTATTTTTTATAACATTTTATTTAAATTTCTATAATTATTTATTCATAAATAAACATGAACATTGTTGGAACATTGTTTGTAATTTTATTGTTGCTTGGAATATTTATCTATCAACTTAATGTTATAATCAATTTTAAACACTTGTTTTGTATTAAAAATCTAAATTCTATAAAATCATTAATTTCATGTAAGTAAAAATTAATTACAAAGATTAATACCTCATAAATAGAGATGCATCCTATACCAATACCAATACATGGGCGATACTTTGCGTTTGTAGATATATTAGCATTGGCAATATTTTTATTGCTGATACAATGATACCTTTTAAATTCAAAGCCTCCTAATATATCTATAAGAGAGGCAGGTCTAAAAAAATGTTGCATAAGTACTCTAGTTCCCAAATGAGTTCTGTCCCATCTGAGAGACAATTTTCCACCTTTGAGAATACTTTGTTCAATAAAAATCTAAATGTTAATTTTAATTACCTTACCTAATAATAATTTTAATAACTTATAATCTCATTCTAAGTTTGTAATTTCTTACATTAATTAAAATATAAATATTAAATCCCATCTTGTGTATTATATGACCTTCATTTAAAATTACTAAGTGTATCGGTATTGGTATTGTATATTGCAAAAAGTAATATTGATACATCCCCACCCAAAAACTACGCATTTTTGAAATGTCGTATTTTGGAATTAGACTAACAATAATAAGGTCGGCCATAAAAGATTGAACCTTCAAATCAATTAAAGGTTTTGCACAGTTGAGTCCAAGTACTTCCTGTCGAAGTTAAAAAATAAATAGAAATGAAACTAATTAATACATAATCACATTCATAAAAAAATTATCACACCTTAAAAGTAAAAAAATTCGGTTTTGCTTCAACACGGAAGCAAAACTGGAATTGACAAAAAAAAAATTTCATAACCTTGTCAGTATTCAATTGATCAGTGAGATGTTCCTCCTTTCTATGAAATTGAGTAAAATACTTTAGTCTTATGAGTATTTTGGGTCCACGTCTGGTTGACTTACTTGTAAGCAAATATCTGGTATAAAACCCTGGTGGCGTAAATATGCACTCAGTATGTAATTTGAATTTGTAATGTGAATTTTAATTTTTTATCTTGTAATGATTTTAATGTAATTTTATATTCCTATGTTAATATGTAACTTTACCAAACAGAAATTGGCGAAATTTGGACTCGTTTATTCGACCATCGTCCATTCTTAAATGGAGAAATAAAGTTTATGTTGAAAGAGTTTGAGGTAATACAAACTTTTGATATTATTAAAACTTTAAAATAATAATAAGCATGTAATTCCTATTAATTGATGCAAGTTATATATATAATCGTATGGATGTTCGTAAGTTAAGTAAGTAAGTTTTATATGTGGTAGAGCGATGCTGCAGCTATATTAGAAGTATAGTTTTAATGCGAATGGGTTGACTCAATTGGGTAAGGACTACGCTCTCATAGAATACCAGCATAAAATAGCAGCTTAACACTGTTGTGTTTTGTATGGTGAGTGTAAGGAAACGGAGCCCTCTTTACTGGAAAAGAGGCATTCCATCTTAGCCCTCACGGGTATATAACGCATTTGCAATTTGATTCTTTGTTGAGGATAGGTGTGTGTGGATCATAGCAACCACTTACCATCAGGTGGACTGTGTGCGAGGTCATGGGTTTGAATCCCAGGTTGGGTCAAAATCAGTTATTGGGTTTTTCTGTCAATAAATTCTTAGTAGCAGCCCAGAATGAGTAAGTTGGCAGTGTTCACCCCCATGCCTTGGAAAGCACATAAGGCCATTGGTCAGGCGCATGGCGCTTTATGTGCTTTCCGGTTCTCTCTCCGGTTGTGTATAATTACTGTCCCATCGGACTATAAGAGTGGGGGAATAGAGATTGCACCTGCGCAGGTGGCTAGTCCCGTTAAGACTGGCTGCCGTGATCTAAATTCGATCTGGAGGACATTACTTATTCATTACTGTGCATACTCTATACCTAGTACCTACTACAAATATAAAATCTGGAAAGGGTTTTATATTCTAACATATTATATTCAAATAGACGATATTTCTATAAACTTATTTTTTCAACTGACTTCAAAAAAGGAGGAGCTTCTTAATTCAACTGTTTTTTTATGTGTGTTACCTCTGAACTTTTTTGTAGGTGAACTGATTTTGATGATTCTTTTTTATTTGAAAGCTGGTGCTTCTCATATGGTCCCATATAAATTTGATCAAGATCTGACCAGTAGTTTTTAAGTTATCATTAATAATGCGTATTTATTTTACTTCCATTGATGACATTGATCATGTTTTCATTTTATTTATATTGAAGTTGGTTGTACAAAATGTTTAATATTACTACTTGTTGATAGTTGATATGTTGTTTTAATTTTAGAATGTTGGGCCAAAATAATCATAAGAGTGTTAGTTCTAGATGTTTAAATAGATTGTTTTGATTGTAAGATCATTGATGACCCTTAGTGATTTTCTCTCGTAATGGACTTTGCAACACATTTTGTTTCGAAGTCATTCTTTATTTTAAATTGATTGCAAGCGACCAGGTGCTAAAGAATTGTATATTTCAATTATTTAAACAAGTCAGATTTCCCTATCGCTATCTTACAATGAAAAACAACTATTGTCATCGAGATAATTGTTCACTTGAAATATTTTCATTTTTTGTAATTATTTTTTTTTTTAATAAGGAAAAACGAGGCGACCGTGAAGTAGAGAACTTGTTTTCTATATTAGAAAACTTAACTGACATCAAAGATACACAAGTTGAAAGAATAAGCAAAAGTGGTAAAACTGGTCTACCCATTTTAAGTGAAAAGTTAGTGCAGGGCCTACAATTGTGTGAAGAAATAGAAAAGGATTATTGTCAGATCCAACAGGTTCTAAATATTTTGCATGCATTTATTTTATTTAAACAATTTTATGTAGTAAAATACGTATACAATTATGATTTTTTATTATTACATAGATACTTTTCATTAAGTAGTTTTATGACATACGAAGAAACATTGTCCCCGACCTATTATTACAAGTCACCGAAGGAGATTAGTCAGGTTTCACAATTTATCAAAATGTAATATCCCTCTCCAAATTGCAGGTTTAAACGCTTGTTTGTGAATGTAGCTTCTTCTAAGTGATTGATGTTAAATACACACTGGGAAGTTTTCAATCTTTAACACTTTCACTGTCTGGTTTTCAGACACAATAGTGAGACAATATCAATTACCTATATGTAGTGCACTGGACAGCGAAAGGGTTAAACATGCTCAGATTTGCCACTATCATTACATCACATTTGTTAGACTACAAAGATAAGCTTCAGATAATTTCTCCTAAAGATGATTTGTATTTTGTGAGATTTGTCAATATTGCAAATCTTGATATACTATACTTCTACAGTCTGTTGTGGCATGCTGGTACAGGTCCTTTTCACTGTAAAGTGTCTTGGTTCGATTTACGCAGAATGAACTTACAGTATCTTGAACTTTCAATAGCCTCGCGTATCATACTTGATAGGAATCGGTGTTCTTTTGCGATGATTTGTGGTCTATCAAATAACCAAAAATTAATATTAAAAAACTGAAGGTAGCCGGGCTAACTGTGACATCCGGACGTCAAACATCTCAGCCCCCCCCCCCCCCCGTGACCATGGGTTGCTGTAAAGCACCCGAAACGTCGGGAATTAAAATATTAAATTAAACGCGATAAAATCCTTAAAAATGGTTTCATTCAATGTGTAGTGTTCGCGTAAATATGCTGAGACTGCTTTGTTTTAAATAGTTATAAAAAGTGTATTTTTCAACATGATACTCTGCTACTTTATAATAGAATAAAAGATTACGTGATTTTTTTAGATTAATTGCTGAAAAACTCGTGACTCGTGAGTCAAACTTAAATTGCAATTTAAAAAAAAACACTTAAAAATTTTTTTACGAGGTCTTAAAAGGAATAATAATGTTGCATGTAGTAATTGACTAAAATTAGAGTTTTACTTAAATTAAAAAAAAAATTACTTTTTTTTTTTAAAAAAGAAAGTAGTTCTTTTCAAAGTCAAAGATCTTAGTCAGAGCTACATACTATTTTTTTTTAATAAGTTAATTTATTTTCAGGTGTGTAAACAAAAACGGTGTGCAAATCAAGAGAAAAGGCAAAAGGAATGGGATCAATTTATTGATGATATGAATTTTAAGTGTCAAAGAATTGATAATACATTTGAAGAAAAAGAGGAAGAACTTAGAGATTTATATGCAGATTTAAACCATAAATTAAACATTACAGATAAGTGAGTAAATCATGGACCTCAAAGGCACACTTGTTGATACAGATTTAAGGATCTATCCTTCCAAAGAGCTACAGAATTTTATAAATACTATACCAATCACTGATGAGACACCAATTAATATAATAAGATTTATAAAAGGTGAAACTGAAACCTCTAATAGCCAATTTAAACACTCAATAATAAATGAAATACATTTAAACAATAATGATATTAAAAATATACATAAAATCAAAGATATTATAAAAAAAATTGATTCTGATTCTAGTACTATTAAAGACTCAAATCAAAAAATCGAGAATTCGGTCATTAAAGAAAATAAGATGGAAGAAGAGGAGCTTAAAAAAGAAAGTGATAAAAAAGGTAGTCCTTTCTTGAACACTTACGATATAGACTGGCTGTATGCTCATATTAATAAACGAAGGAAGGATGGCGAAATAGATCTTCCTTTTTTGCATGTTCTATTTGAAGGGTCTCATATTGAGTTACCTCAGAATGAAATAATAAAAAGGAATCCAGTCTTAGAAGCTAGATGCGTAAAACTAAGGGCTCAACAGGAAGCAAGGGAGTATCGAAAAATGACTAAAAGTGTGGACAATGTTAGAATGCGGTTCCCAGAGGATAGTATTAGCTATCAGAGTAAGTAATATTTTTTACATAATTTATACTTGCGCTTGTTGTCACATGGTAATACGTCAGTTTCATTTTTGTTATTTGGTTAAACACTTGTTTCACAATATTTATTTTAAACTATTAACATACTAACTATAAAAACCGATCGGTTTCGCTTCACGACATCATCGGATTTATACCCTATATAAAATTTGTGAAACAAGTACGAGTGTTAATCCAAATCATAAAAATGAAGCTGGAGTTCACCCTAGTAATAAAAAAAGTTTAAGTTTAATAATAAAATTTAAAATTCTATTAAATTCCATAAGGTTGGAATTACACTACTTTAGAAACTCTCACTTTTGACGCTGCTCCCTATCACCGCTGGTTAGGATTTGGTAAAACTCTTTATAAAGGTTTAAGTTATACCGTCGTCTGTCTGAGACCATGAGTCCTTCCTGGCATTTCACATTATTAACATTAACGACACCCACTGTACGAGATTGTGTGTTGGATATACGCCACGACTGCACAGTTAACATAACGTCGGTGAGCGTGCAAGACCGCTTAAGAGCAGTTTGTAAATACCGCGTAACTGCGTTTTCACGATTTTACAGGAAGATGAAAAAAGTTAATATCACGCCCATTTTAATATATTTTACCGACTGAACTTGTTTGCTATTGTTTTTCGACTTCTTTAATTGGTAAATAATGTAAATTTACCAATAGCTTGCTTGTATTCAGTGTAAAGTACTTTTCTCGGTTTTGTAGCGACATATAGCAGAAAAATTAGTATGCCATCAAAAACATAACTGGTAAAAAAACCAAGTCTCGCAACTCAGTTCTTCTACCGTAAAAAGTTGTGAGATTCATGTAATACCAAGTCGGTTAATTTATTCAGTCCCTACTTAAAGGTCCTTCTGTCTTAAGTTGTTACGTAATTAGCTAACCTAACAACATCTTATAGTAATCATATCTATCTATACATATAATAAAAATGTAAATAGCAGATGTCTGTACATTTTATATTTTTGTAATAAAAGTGATTGAGAGGTACTAAAAATAAGTAATTAAATACATTTCTACCATTTTTAGATTTTTCTGTCTGTCTGTCTGTCGGTCTGTTTGTTTGTTAACGTATCACGTATAAAGTACTAATTTATATCATAAGAATAGTTAAGGAAATTATTAAGTGTATATTCAGGTTACATTTAGTCTTTATTTCATTAAAATTGGTTAATTCTATCAAAAGTTATGACAAATATTCTGAAGTATGGGTACTAAGTATAGGTACGAATTTCTTCAATAGTGGCGTTGGATGAGTCATCAAGTACATTTTAAAATTAATATCATATTATAAATCATAATTAAATGATGTAAAATAATGTTCTATAATGATATAATTATATTTAAAACGCAGTAAACAAAAGTATTACATAAAGAACGTAATAAATATATACAAAATATATTAACCTTATTATCTAAACTAAATTAAAATACAATAGTTAACCAATTTCATCGATAGATGGTGGTGTGGCACAAATGTGATACAAAAAGGCAGGTTTATTTTTTTCCTGTAGATTATTATCAATTTACGTAGAATAGTTATTATGCGACAACCGACAACGACACTACAAAATAAAGCGAAAGCAGTGACCATTGTGACATTAGAGGAGACACTTGACAATTAAGTTTGACTCACCATACTGACATTTTTTTAGGTTAACGATGCGTTCAGAAATTCTGAATTATTCAAAATTTTTAATCTTCAGAGCAAGATTTAGTTGATATTGATTTCGCGAGTTCGCATTGTTTGCAAGTTCCCAATTTTCGATTATGGGTTCATTGACGTCGATGTTTCGATGTTTGACATATGTCAACATCGATGTTAAAACATCGAAGTTTTAATTTTTAACATCGATGATCATCTAACAACCCTATTTTAAGTGTGTTTCCAACTCAGCGTGTGTTATGCGACGATCGTAAATAAAGCGCAAGGTCAAACTTTACGCGTTGCAGGAGTGGACCTCAGTACTGATTGTTTTGCATATGACCAACTCTATGTTGCTTTTTCCCGCGTTAGTAGTCTCCGTAACCTTTTTCTGTACGCCCCGGCTAAGTCTACTTCTACCGTCGGTTACACAGAAGCTCTATCATAAACGACTTAGAACTTTGAGCATATCGATTTATTTTGTTACCACTTATTCATACAGTAATGATATAAATCGTTTAATATTCTCTTACCCTAAACGTCAAATTCTTTAAGTAAAATCTATATTCGCGAGCTACGCCGCGGGCACAGCTAGTCAATATTAAAAATCTTTTATGTTTTAAATAAATAGATTGGCTTGGCCATCGCATGAAAACGCAATGTATCTCTCAAGTAATAGATATTATATTAAATTAGATTGTTTAGTGCGATTGCCAAGTCAATTTATTTATTTAAAACATAAAAGATTTTTAATATTGATATGGTTACATGAATCTCACAACTTTTTATGGTAGAAGAACTGAGTTGCGAGACTTGGTTTTTTTACCAGTTATGTTTTTGATGGTATCTCATTTCTTTTTGTAGATAGTTATATCTAGGTCTATCTACAACTATTATTCCATTATATTACACATATATAGGTACACTGATTCATTCACTGTAAATATAACTTTGTAATCCTATATATTTATATGGGATTACAAAGTTATTTATGCAGTTGGCGTATCTCTAAAACTGGACCGAAATTGCAAAATATTTTAATTTTTCCTTAATTTATATACTAAACAATAATTGTATTCCAAATTTCAAGCTTCTATGTCTGCTAGAAGTGCCTTAAAGTTTTGATGATCGGTCAGTCAGTGAGTGACAAAATTAAGAAACTTTGACTAGTTGTAATTCTTAAACTACTGGTTCAAATTTAATAAAATTTGAAACATATCGAGTTTATATAATGCCTACTTGGTTACTGAAAATTCAGGCTTCTAGTTTTATCCACAACGAAGTTATAGGGTTTAGAAAATGGCCTGAACTGCTTCGAGAAAAGGATGATACGGCCGTGCCGCTTTTTTGCTCGACTTGGCGGGGACACTGCCGTGCGCCCAGATACTTTTAGTAGGTACGCGGATATGAAATGAAACATTTTATTAAAGTATTAACCAAAAGGATAAATTAAACTAAAATTAGCATGACTAAATAACAAAAAAAGTATTCTAAAACATAAACATCCTCAGAAAAAGGTCTTATTAGAAAAATAATAATAACTTGTACGTTATTGATGTTATTAATGTAATTGATCACATCAAAGAAATCCTAATATTTTCACAGCATCTCAATCTTTTTGTACTGAAAAAGTTATTTTACTATAATAATTTTGAATTGGTATAGTGTTCATAAAACTCGAAAGGCAATAATAGTAAAATAACAAAAAAAAAAAAACGAAGATAAATCAATAACTTTATTAGCTTTCACTTTTTTCTAGTTTGTTTTTATTATAATCACAGTACCTATATAATTATTTTGTTAAAACACGTAGATTACTTTCAAGGTAAATTATCATAAAAAACTATGATAATCACTTGATGTGACACTAAAGCTCCTGTTAATTATCGTATTTTTTTCATATTGATTGTCTTGATTCATAAATGATACTTTCCTTGGTCTTCTAGACAAAGGAACGAAGTCATCTGCAAAGTGAAATATAAAGTCTATTATATCACTTGGATTATACATTAGTGCTCTTTCATCAGCGATACAGTGATCTTCCGCCACATGACCAGGTCTTATTGATTCATAAATCTGGTAATCTTTAACACCGAAGTCTTTAAAAAAGTATAATCAGGTGTTATAACTTCGTAAGGGCATAGTACAGTTTTAGTATCTATTGTGATAGTTGCATAGTGGAAAGTAAAACGATTTCCCGATTTCTTAACTTCCTCTCAATAAAGGATTGTACTGAATCTAACTTCATCTGCGTATGGCCTTTTTCTAAGTATTTCTGAGTTATTACTATGTCCATGACGATAGTCAATTGCAACAACGCATTTCATAACACATTGCTTCTATTCTGGGATTTACAGTCATCTACGAATATGACAACATTCTTGGGGTCATTATTTAGTAACTTTGCTAAATAATCTAAAAAATTACGCGTATGTTGTGGCTTTACTAAACCCAGCTTATAGACTGAAAATTTGTGCACAGCGAGCTTTGTCTTGAAATAAAGTGCACTAGCATTGATGAAAAGACTCAGTTTTACAGCCTGAAGATCGGCTGTTAAAGCATGTACTTAGTTCCTTATCCACCATTGAATTAACACACATTTTTTTTTCTTGCCAAGTCATTTAGATATTAATTATTAATATTAACAGTAGTTCGATCAGAACAAACTTCTGTTATTTTGAACA